TTCGTCGGCGCTTTCACGCGTCATCCGGACGTGTAGCAGGCTATCGGTTGAAAAGGAATCCTCGTCAACTGTCCACTTTTCATCGTTTTCTCGTCTTTCATTGCGCCATCGTTCGTTTCGACCCTGTTTCGCCGGGATCGAAAAGGAACGAATAGATGGACGCGCGTGATGAAATCCTCGCGCCGGATATCGATACGGATCCAAGGATCCGTTCATCTCGTTCCACGATGTTCCAGCGACGATGACAAAGGACGTATATATACGTATCTGGGAGATTTCTCTATCTCTAATCGAATCAAGAATTTCTCACGAAAATTCTTCCGTCGCTAGAAAAACGGTGGAAAATGTGTACGTCTCTCGAAGTGTCTCGATAAAGATGACGAGGAGGATGATTAAATACGGCCATTGTGTGTTTGTACCTCCTTTGTCGCGATACATTGCTTTTACTTCGGGTATACGCGGAAAGAGCGGGAATGTAACAAACGTCCGATTACTTCTGTCGCTTTAAACTCGAGTTATCGCGCCGGATCTCGAAGTTAAATCGCGTAGTCGAGTGCATGTGCATATATACGGTGCACGCTCGCTTTGACGCACAAAATCCACCGTTATCGTTTAGCAAATACGTCAAAGTGGTAAACGGCGAACGCGATCATTTGCGTGTCGGGACCCGTCCGCCAATCTCCGTTTTCGAATCTCGCCGCGATTGTCTCACCGGGGCTGGTTTAATTAGGAAACGGACTAGGGTTTCTGCCGGACACGTTTACTCAGCGCTGTGCTACGACAAAGCCGAAAACAATCGGTGCCAATGTCCTTCGAGTCCGCAGGCTTTGCCCGAGAAATTAATCGAGCGCCGTGCCAGGGCAAACAGCCGAGCTTCGCGTTTACTCGCGCTTGCTGTCCGAACCGTGGTGGCTGCTGGGTGCATAGAGAGAGAGAGAGAGAGAGAGAGAGAGACAAGGTAGATAGACGGAGAACGCGAGGGAATATTCACGAGACGACATCATGCTGCAACAATGCGACCTGGCGATTCGATGTTCCGAGATTCCAATTGGCTGCCAAATAGCAATTCGTTTAGTCGCCCACGAGCGATTATCGCGCACGCACGCATTGTGCCGCACCGCGTGAAAAAAATGCTCGCACTCTTTGGATATTTCACCCTTCGAATAACACGCGACCGGAATTTCTCGCTGTTTGGCTCTGTGCGTGTGTTGACCGCTACAAAAAAATATCTTTCGCTCGAAATTCTTCCGTCGCTGATAATATTTTCTGTTGACGTATATCTCCCTCCCATATATATTTTGTTTCTCGATGAATGATGAAAATATGAGTAGGAGAGAATCTGTTCTGTTGCTGCGCCATCAGTCAGCTTGTCAAAACAATGTTTAGTTAGACAGAGGACAACGAAAGAGATGATGATGGGAGAGAGAGAGAGAGAGAGATCGTTTGAGGGAGTTAATTAGCTCTCGCCATAATCCCGATGGTTTGGGACCACATGTGCGTGGCTTAATGCACGTTTATTGCGTGCAGCTGGAGCGCTTGCGTGCGCTCTCTCGTCGTGCGTTTATCCCCTTTTCCACCCTCTCTCGCTGCGCGTATCGGCAACCCTCAGTTCCCGCCGCATTCCACGTATATCGCGATATATCCCTCGTCGTATTCCCGAAAACATTCAATCGGACGTTTTCGCTCTATCCAGGAATTTGCCGATTAATGGCTAATTAATAATATGTCGCGCGAGACGCGCGAGGGATTGTTCCGGGAAAAATATGGACCGAATTGCTCGTAATTTGTTTTGACTCGAATCCATTCATATTTTCCCCTCCGATACGCTCGTAATTTCTTGCGACTTATATATTTAATTATTGGAATCGGGGCTCCTCCAGGCGACCGTCCGGCACTGATTCATTTCATATATTTATACATTTGTAGGTATATAGTATACGTTTATGCAATTCTACGAGTTATTCTGCTCTTTAAACGATTGTGAAGTCATTCGTTTCGCACAATGCGTTGTACATATGGCGGAATTTAATTTTTATTTTTATTCTATACATTCGCCATTTTGCGCGAAACGATGCAATTATCGAGCATATTACGCTTGTCGCTTGTTCACTTGACCTCGTGCTTTCACTACACAATACACGGTACTTCCGTCACTCTCGAGAGAGAACGTGATTAATTATTTCACTTATATTTGCGGCAAATTATTAATTAGGTGTACATGTACATGACGCACGCTCCTTTTCACAATCGAGAACGAAAACACGCTCATTAAATCACGATGGGATTAAATCCGGTGGTGACATTTAATTCGTATTATTTGATTTTGCGTATATATAGGAAGGGGAAGAGAAATATGATCATTAATTTAAATATTATTCCTGGCTCGCTTGTGGGGGAGAGATGAATTAATCCATTCCTCCCCCGAAGAAGCCAAGGTAAATACCTATCACGTCGTAGTAGAAATGCGCATCTCAATTGTTACAATGTCGCCCCGAATGCAGTTTGCTGTTGCAGTTACGCGGCTTTTGCTCCAACTCATTGTAGCTTTAGTTCCGGCATTACTTTCGCTCGTTTTGCCATTACAGTCCTTACGGTATACAGGAAGTTCTATTCGCCTTCTCCACTTCACCGTGCGCGATCCGGTGCGCGAAAGGATCGCGAAATGCGAAATGTGTCATGTAAAGTACAGCTCTTATAAGACTCTTACAAGACATTTGCGCTCAATGTGTTTTTTCGTCGCTCTCGTGGGGCATTTTCCGCGAAATTTAATCCGCCAAGATGTACGCGTCGAGGCGTTACGCGAATCTCCTCGCAATCTCTATGCGCGCTTAACCACTTGTACTTTACGATATTTGCCGAGATACACTTGTTGTGTCGCTTTAACGCGATTTTGATTTTATTCTGATAAATATCACGCGTTTATTCGTTCACCTTCTTTTAGCAGCGCTAATTAAATCGTGAATCGTTCATTATCGTATAATACAAGCTAAACGAATTCTTATGAAGAGTAAGAAAGAGAGAGAGGGATGATAAGGAAAATGGATCTTACATGTAATCGAAAGATGCGATACACGCTAATTATCTCTATATAATTAATGAGCAGTTTTCGCTGCTCTCTCTCTCTCTCTCTCAAGCATCAAGGAGATATATAGTTACGCGTTCGACGAACGTCATGTAGGAGTAAGCGGACGGCAAAGATTTCCGAACGCGATCTTCCCTATCTTTCCGCGATATCTCGCTGGAAATCGTTAGATAGCGACGACAACTAAGTTACCGCTCTGCGAGCGTTATCACGACCAATTGTGCGGAAATACCTTCGATCGTACGTTACCGACATTGACGTGTACGCGTTCTCCATTCTCGCGATTCTTTTTCCTCCCCATCCACCCTCCTCTTCTCCGTTATTTCCTTTTTCTTCCTCTTCCTTTGTCTCCTCTCTTACCCGTTATTTCCATGGTTCGCCGAGACGTTCGACACAAGACGTTCTTGAAAAGCTCCATCTCAGCTCTCGGTAAGAGCCGCGCACCGGGAAAAGAGCTGCTTACCGCCTCAGTGAAAACTATAGTAAACCAGTGATAGAAACGAGAGAAATCCTATAAGCTTCTCTTTACCATAGCAACGCAGTTGGTATAAAGCGCGTGGCGATCGTTGCGCGCGAAACAGTATCGTGTTTCTTCATTTTCATCTTTTTTTACGCATATCTCTCGGTGACCCCCTTTTCGCTTCCTTTTATTCAAAGAGAGAGAGAGAGAGAGTACGCGGCTCTTCCGCTAAATGTACGCCATCGATATGGTAACATAATAGCCTGTGTAGAATTTTTTCTCTTCTTTTTATTCACTCTTACGAGACTGTATTGATTGGTTTTTACAATTTTTACAACGTATATTCTCTTAACCTACTTTGCCAGAAAAATATCATATACCTATATATATATATACTCTAGGATCCTCAGCGGGGTCGTTTAGATATGGTCGTACGTATGTGTTATTTCATAGAGCGATTAGACTAATTAGGAGACCGGGAGCAGGACTAGTCTTGGACACCGAGATTACGAGATTCTCCTGCTTTGCGTAATTTAAATGGATCTCGTGTAGCGTATATTCGGTGGGGCGGTGTAGTGGAATTTCAAGCAGATTATAATTTTTTTACGTGACACAGTATTCGCGTACGTGAAACGCTCCAACGCGATTGACGGTATCTTATAATATGCGAAAAATTGAATTAAACTTTTCGTGAGTTTTATCAAAGTTTCACGTATTACACAATTTTTATATTACATTTTCATATATTATAGCAATAAGTAATTTAAGGAGGAAAGGAAAAAGTAATACATTTTTATGCAAAAGTAGAGTCAGTCGAAAGATCTCTGACAAAATATCCAAGATACAAAATCTAAGTGAGGAACAATAAAATTATAATAAAAATACAGATATTTCTACATACGTATAAACACATGTCACAATCAAATAATGTGTCAACTAAATATAGACTACATTTACAACAGTTAAAATAATAAACATTGATTTTTGCGTTATACATTTTCAAAAGAAAGGAAAAAAAGTAAGTTTTAAGAAGATAAAAAAAGGCGAACACACAATTGAAAATCTTTATTATGTATGCCGCTTATATACACGTCGATCGACGTCCGCCGGAATAATTGCGCATTTTCGCTCCGTAGAAAATGAAGTTAGGGATTTCATTATCTAAAGTACAGATAGCAGGACTGACAGCCTTTATCCGCGGATGTTATCTCGCGTTCTTTTGATTGACAGCATGTGCGCCGGGGTTTCCCATCGCGGGCGGGCATCGTCGACGAGGAGGGTATCGGCTGGATGTTCGCGCGCGGAAGGGACGTCCGCCCTGGCGCAACCGGGCGGACGTCGCCGCTCCCATGGTGGGGAGAGGGATGAAAGAGAGAGAAAGGGAGCGGGGCGTCGCGACGCTGCTCGGTAGCGCCACGAACTAAAAGTCCGGGCGCCACCGCGCGCCAGTGCCGAGCCCGCGATCGTGGCGAGCGTACGCGTATCTCGTGCGTGCCGTGTATATATCGCGCGCGCGCGTTCGAATACACGGTTCGAATTCCATTCCGAACTCTTCGCGGGCGAAAGAAACGTACGAGGGTGCGAGCGACCGCGCGAAATTGCAACGACGAAATTCCGTGCCGCTCCCTTCGTCATCCGGGATTGCTGTTGGACGATTGCTCCGAAAAAGAGATCTGGAGTCTCCGGCTTCCAGGATTTACGAGGAGAGAGGTCGATGTCGATTTTAAAGCGCCAAGTGTCCCGGGGTCACGAGATGTCTTTCTTTACCTTGCCGAGACCGCGGACCATCCCTTAAAGGAAAGGGAGGGAAAACGACGTCTCTTGTCAACGACGATGAATCCGCGCTGCGATTCTCTTCTCTCGATTGTTCCGCTCTCTTTTTTTCTTCTTTTTCTCTCTGGACCCTTTTTCTCTTCGTCGTTTTTGCAAATCACGAGAGGTCGATAATGTGACGTGACTCTCGGTGCATCGCGGGGCTTTTCTAACTAAAGGACTCTCGCATCTCTTGATTCTCATTCGACGTCAATCCGCCGCGTTCGAGCGGTGGTAGCTTAACGAGTTCCGCGGCTTTTTATCGGTCGGCCGTTCATCGGTGATTGGAATCCGGCATCGGGCGGATGATCCGGCCGGATTCCCCGTAGTTCTCATCGGCAAAACGATCGGTGTCGATGCAACATCGTCGGGAGAGCCGTCGGCTGGTGTCGACAGGTGTTTTTGCTAAGTAAACACGGTACAACTGGCTGAATGATAGATGAAGCACGTAGTAGCCTCGTGACGATCCGCCGAGTCCCTTAACGAGCAGTCGGATCAGAACCGTTCGATGTCGACGAGATTTCTTCATTTTCTTCTTCGTGATGGACCAGTAATTCTTCCGCATCGCGTCGCGATGAATTCTAGGTTCACGCGGAGACGATCATTTTTTTCGAGACACGAGTTGAAGGCTGAGAACTTCTCAATTTATTTTTCCAATTACGATTATATCAATTTCATTTCATGAAAAACGATTTTTTTTTCAACTAGTTTTTTTTAATAAACCGCACTAGAATGTTCCGTTGACCTAAATTCGCGCGGGGCTTGCGTTTTTGGTGCTTTATTTCTATTAATTTTGTTTCTCGCGTTTCGCGTTTAAAGCGACCTTTTTGCGATTTCCGCGGTAATTACGCAGGCGACATTTAATATTCGTTCAATTAATCCAACCCCGCGCGCGTTTCCGAATACATACCGTTTATAACCGTTTCACGAGCGTGGCTGCGCCTGTCACCAGATTTTTCCGGCGTACACAAAATTCGCGGCGCAATATTCCGAAAGATAAACGAAAATGTGTACGAACATTTTTTCATATGTACATATTTCAAAATAGGCCCCGTTTACCGACTCTTTTTGGCTCTCGTTAGCGTCGAACGCTCGTTTCTTCTTCTATATGGACTTCCCCTACGTTCGAGTTAATCGCCGACGCGAATCCTGCATATGCGAGGACTGATGAGCGCGTTTTAACGAGCGTTTTCTATTAACGCGCGACAGTCTCACATTCCATAGTACCCTTCGGTGTCCACCAGGATACAGCTGGACACCTATCCTAACCGCCTGCCTGCCACGCGTCGAATCGATTCCCCTAAGGCTTCGAGAAGCCGGAGCCCTATTAGCAAATTCGATTCGTTGCGGTAACTCGGGCTCCTAGCTGTGAAAACGGGTAGTTAACGATTTTTCGTCGAGCACTCCCGCAGGCTCTCTCTCTCTCTCTCTCTCTCTCTTCGCCGTTGAATCGGCGCTGGAAACGTGACGTGGATACAGCAGGAGACGCGAAATATTTCCTCGCCGTAACGAAATGTTATTAAATAGCGACTTCTTCTTTCTCGCTTCCGCGACGAAAATTGCTCCGGCCGTTAAAAGCGGAGCTATATCCAGTTTCGAGAGGCGGAACACGCGAGAGATGAAAACCGATGAATTGGCGAGAGTTTTGAGCTGGTTTTTTTTAAGTCGAGAGAAAAAAACGAGTGGCGCTGAGAGAGGGACGTTTATTCGAGCTTCCGGCGGAAACGTCAATTATTATCGCGTAATGGAAACGAAAAAAAAGAAACGAAAAAGTGCGCGACTATCTCGCCGCAAGGTCAATGAAATTGCTTATCGGCCCCGCCAAGACTTTTAACTTTCGTGAAAAACCGATAAATTCATCCGATCCTACTTTCCAGCGCGGATACGCATCCCCCATACCTATATACGGTCGGCGCAAGTTTTAAACTAGTAAAACTCTCTCTCTTTCTCTCTCTCCCGGCCTAAAACGCGAGAAGACGTATAAGTAAATTCGATTTAATAGCGTAAGTTGGACCATACATCACGATTAAAGCGGAACCACTCCGCCCGGACTTTTTACCGAATAAAAAAAAGAAAAAAAGGAAAGGAAACGACTTATGCACGGTGTATCGAGAAAACTGATATCATGATGTTGCAAATTTTATCGATACGATACTTGAGATACTCCATTAACGATACTAATGATTTGTGTCGAGACACAGTCATCTCTTAATACCGTGCATTTGACTTATCTCCACTTGAATATTTTTAAACGCGTTCTACTTATGATGCTTTTACGTTGTGATCAACTATACAGGGAAAATACATCAGGAGGTAATGTTATAACCCGTCTTGGAGTGATGTATTGAATGTTTGAACGCGCGAGAAACCATAACATCCGTAATAGAGTAAACCGGGATCTTGCTGAGCACAGAATGCGACCAGATGTTTGCCGATGAAATGTTCAGTGAGAAAGTAAAAGTTTGTGAAAATCCCGTGTCATTCGTTATCATATTTTTCATAGTTTATTGAATTTAGAGCGAGGCATGCAATAGTGAAAAAAAGACGGCACTCGCGGTATAAATTCTAATACTTGCAATTTTATTTCCGTTGGTTTATATGTCTTCGTAAATCGATAAATATAATGTCTGCAAAATTCTTGATGGTTCACATGATAATGCGACTTTTATAGTTCAACAAATAATCGAAGTGAAGTAGAATAGAGAGGCAATGTCGAGGTAATGTCGTTGGAATTCTTTTTACGGAAAGAAAGATGGTAATTCGTATAAAAATGATACGGTTTCGAGGATAATGTTCCATCGCGAACCTTTATATCGATTGATTCGTCTCTGACAATGAGTACACAAAACTGTAATTTATCTACTAAAGCGAGTTAGTACTTTATGATAAATTTTTTATAGCAATATCCAGTTTCCCAAAATATGAAACTGACGCTTTTTTTACAATGAGCATTTTCTGAAAAATCTGTCAAGAATTCATAATTTATCTGCGCGCGTAATTTGCACGCATTACTACTGCATTTTTATTTATTCATTTTTTTCCACAATAATAATAATTACTTTCTCCCTGAAAAAAATATCGTGAAAAAACATGTGCAGTGGTGCTGTAGAAAAGAACTCGCTGCGAAGATGCGGGAGATGGAAATTATCGGTCAGGTGGAAGAAGGGCCGCTTCGTTCTCGTAGATCCTTTAAACTTGTCCGAGCTTGAGATCTTTTAAACTTGAGTAGCAAGTTGAGGCGGGGACCAAGTATGGAAGAACGCCACGGAGGCTCCGGCAATTAATCACTTAGTGGTTTTATTCAATTATGTCTCGTTGCGAACCAGAGAGTCGAGTGCCGTTGAAAGCGGGGTGAGAGAGATAGTAAAAGGAAGGAAGAGAAAGAGAGAGAGAGAGACAGAAGGAATGCGCCGAGGTTCGGTGAAGACAGTACAGGGCTACCGAAGGAAGTTACGACCGGGTGAAGCTTTCGGAAACCTCGCAAAAGTGTTATTCGAGACCGAGAGGATCGCGTCGCGGTTGGCCGCAACGACAGTCGCGTCGCCTCGTTTTCCAAACAGAAAGCCACCATCTGCTCTACCCCCGCACTTATGCAGCCCCCGAGTTCATCGATCATCGGGGACGATCGTAAAACCCGTCCGGTGGTCGCGTGTCTTTTTGCGCGCGATAAAACGCGCTCTTAAGAGGAGACAGAGAACGCGGGAACGAATTCACGCGCGGCTCATTAGAGGCGTATTCAGGCGCATTCTCCGTTTCTTTTCCGAGACGCGTTGTATAGATGCAGCAGCTCTCGCCTCGTTTCAAAGCGGCGCGAGAAAAAGAGGATATATATATATATATATAACCGTGTCGACTCTTTATTTTATCCCATCGCTCGAGTCTCGAACGCGGAAGTTGAAACGGACGGTCCTCTCTCGTGCAAGTTTTCCCTCTCGTTTCATCGGGTTTGTCCCCTGCTGGTCCACTGGTCCATATCCACGGCGATATCCCCGTCGGCGATCCCTTCCGCTTCCGTTCTCGCCGCTTTAATATCCCGCGCTGTGATCGAGAGAGAGAGAGAGAGAAGGATTCTCGCTCGAGCGCGAATCCGGACGAGTTTTCCTCGAGGTGCGGAAATGGGACGACCCGACCGAATTGAGAAAGACGACGAGACGCTCGAGACCCCGGACTACCACTCTTGGCGATAAAGCGTCATCATTGCGCTTTACTATCGGCTTTAGCAATGTGGTAAAAGTCGAACGTCCCTCCTCTCTATTTCCAGGACGAACGCGAGAGCGGGGATTGCGAGGATCCGCGAGCGGACGTCGAGTGAAACAGGTGATTCCGTGATTCGTACGAAGAAGCACTTTTCGCCGAAGAAATTTAACCGCAGCCGGACTCGACCTCTCTCTTGCGGTGATCGAGAGAGAGAGAGAACGGACCGCAAGTGATATGAGTGCTGAACGCAGGATCCTTCGTGACGGCGTTAAACGTCGATCGAGTCGCGAGAGATACCAAGGAAATACCATCGAGTGATCGGCACGCGAGGAAGACCGGATATCGCGCGGGGAGGGGGACGGGTCGAAGCCGAGATAGAAGGACGAGAGGGAACGTAATAGCCAGTGGTGTTTTTTCCTCTCTTTGGTTGCGTGCGAAGGGGGAAAGCGGACCCTGTCTACGCGTGCGGCGAGATACGAGAAAAGCGAAGACGAGCTGGAGAACGACCGGGTGGAAATAGCCTCGAGGCGGGAAGGAAGGTGAAAAAGATGATGCGGTGCCATCCGATCATTCTCCTCGCCGGCCTGCTCACCGTCGTCCGTGCTCAAGGTCAGTCCGTTGCCCGGCATTCCTTCATATATCTTCTTTTATTCTTACTCTACGTTTCCCCTACTATGGCGCAATTATGTCTTACTTTACGTTTTTCCCGCTCTACAGCCCCGTATACCCGGTGTTGGTTTCAAACTTCGGGTTTCCATTAAGGGCGATACTTCTCTCTCTGCACGCGAGAGATCTTTCTTGGAGAAGAGATCGCCCGTTTTCTTTCACTTGCGGAAATTCAAGGCGCCTACTTTAGACCGACGCGACGCGACGTTCCGTTTATTCAAATGTGCATCGCGCGGAACGTACAAGTTGATCTCTCGTTATAATAATAATAGCTTACACGGTAATCGTAAAGCGCGAATTCGAGAAAGAAAATTACCTACCCCCCGGTGGTAAAAATCGGAAGCTAATTAGTTCAATTGTTGAACGCTATTTACTATTTGTACGTAAAAATAAATTATATTACGCGAGTTAAGTGTATAACTTGTATTGTTAAAAGTTTAGTTCTAGTAATATCGCATCATTGATTACAAATATATGGCTAAAAAGCGAAACCGAGTTTGCTCTCGTTAAACTTTTGAGATGTACACATAGACTTCTATATATAGCATAATGTAGAATTCAGAATCCGACACGAGGATGATGTAAATTTTAATTACACGCATCTCTGTCATATAAATACTCGTGCTCTGTAATTCGCGTAAGTTTTCACACACAGTCACTCTTTCTGCCGACAAGAAAATTATAATCTTCTAATTGAGAGAGAAATATCTCTCTTTAAAATTAATCTATCGGAAACATAATATAATATTTTTTCAGATTTTATACAATTATAGTATCTCATAAATCGGCAATTGTATAATTATTTGAAAAACAACTCGAAAACATCTTTTCATAAATATTCTACGAAGCTGTCATTAAATATTTTTCTGTAACAATACATGAGACGCTGAATATTTAAAATTTACGTGAATTTCTCGTAAAAGCTTTTTTCATCGCAAGCTCAAAATCTCCTATACATGATAATACCGGGATTCTCCGTATTACGTTGTACGAGCTTATCGCCGCGGGATAAATCACATTTGTCGTCGGTATAGAATCTTGCACGACGCAACTTTTCATCCATGTCGGATATTTCGTTCGCGAGTGAAATTTGTTTAACACACCATTCAAGTCTATTTCCCTAACAATGGCGCACACGTGCCGACATTCACCGTGTAACGCCGTGGTTTCACGCGTATCTGCTGACGTCTACCCATTGTCGCGGGCCGGCCATTAATCATCGTCGCGCGAGGACGTTGCTTCCTAAAAGCAACAACAATATTATTTCGCCAGAGTGGCCGCGCGATTTTCTCCCCGGGAGGAGGAGGGTTACTACTGTGTTCTCTCTTTTTGTTTTATTTTTTAAACTAACCAAGTTTTTTACAGACACACGCACACACGGAGCATTACGCGCAATATTGCGCGGTAGTATTTCCCGCCGCAGTTTCCCTCCCCATCTCGCGCAGAATCTCCTCTCTTTAATCGCTCTTCAAGCGCGGGAGAAACGCGGAAATAAGGTGACGAAATAAGGGCTGCGGGGATGTGCACTCAGGACGGAATGTGACGTTTATTTGGTGCAGGAAATTTTATTCCGGGATTGTATCTTTTTTTTTTTTTTTAGTATGTTTGGACTAGTTTTTCCGACGAAATTTTTCTTGGCGCGTCGATGAGAATTTTATGACTCCGAAAATACGTTCACACCTAATTCTTATTACGTTTCTTTTTAAGTAGGGTCAAATTTAGACTCCGCTCCCCGTGGTTGTCGAGATAGTACTATATGCGGGTTGCGGGCTGTGCGAATGACAGAAGCAACACTGTTAAATGGACAGTTATACAATTGTAATTGGTGTTCATTATGCTTGCCGTAGATAATCGTTTTCCATCTTTTATTCTCATTATTCTCGATTTGATAAATCATAAAATATGATAAACTCATAATATGACATCAAATCTTTCTAATACGTGGTCCTCTATAAGGCAACAGTAATGATAGTGTAAAAATATTGATTAAAGGATAATGAATCGAATAATTTGTAGAGGGAGAGAGAGAGAGAAAGTATATATCAGTGTCTCGACACAAAGCGCTTTCTTTTTCGTTGTTAGAGTTATCTGTCATTCAAAAATATTTATTCATATATTAGATATAATATACAAGGTACAAGTGCACATACATATACATAAATATATAGGTCTTATTAGAGCACAATGCAAAGCATAGAGATCGATGGTATTTACAAGTCGTGGATGCTTTCACTAAATTGATTTTCCAGGGTTTCGCTCCCTGTTTGCACATTTAATTATGCGCGCCATTATTCCTACGCTGCAAATAATGTAGCTCGACGCTCATTAACTTTTTACGAGATCCCAATTTTTTGAAAATAACTTTAGCATAATAGCCATCAATTCATGGTGGTCGCCACTATTACTGCCGCGTTTCCGTCTATAGTTAAATCTATGGCTTTAACGATGATATAATACGATAATACGAAAACGGCTTATTATTCGTAATTTTAACGCGGTAATCTCTTGCGCTTTTACATAGTTTATCTAGTTTAATAATTTCTCTATGGCGTGAGAGTATATATTTACAACTCACCATCATTATTCCATGCTGCGCGATGTTCTTTCAAAATTGTCTTTCGGAAGATGATAGAAATTGACTCTGCGAGGGAATCAAAGTACATAATCCTATTTGATACTTGATAGTATCTCTTTATCACTGTATATAATTCGACGCTTCTATCACAGGCGTCCGCAGGATTTTTTCCAGGAGGGGGTATAATTAAATTTTTTTTCCTAATTTTTTCTATATTATTTTTATTTTTCTATATTAAATATACAAATAAATTCCAGTGTTTATTCAAAAGGAAAGCAAACGCTCAATTTTTTTTACTGATTCCAAGGGGGACAAATGCCTTCTATGCTTTTGATCTTATGCTCTTAACTTGTCATAACCGGTTTTTTTCATCGTACAAGAGGGGGCGAAGGGGGATGGATTATCTCCGCGATCTCTTATGTTTTTTTTCGACGAGGGTGGCGCGCATGGAACCCCAAGAGCCATCACCTCCGTGTAATCGAATCCAAGCCGCACGCGTGCGTGTGTCGCATGCGTGCTGCACGATCACCGAGGCGTGGTCGGCGAATTACGTGTCCCCGACATATGTCCCCATGGGTCCACTGTCTCCCTCCCCCTCCCCTCTCCTGCCGTTCTTTTTATTTCTCTTCGTGGACGGCCACCATACGGGTCGTGTACGCTTCTTACGGGGCTTCTCGGAGCGAGCAGGTTGACAACGTGCGCGTGTCCGGACGCGAGTCGGCTTTTTGTGCCTGCGTCAGAAGGGACACGCGACTTCCCGTCTCATAAATACGAGTACGGCGTATTAGTGCGCGATGAATCGCGTCCGCTGTCCGTTTCTTTCTCTTTTTCTATCCGGAGGGTGTCTTCGGTGGCGAAATGACTCGTCGGAGATACTATCGTTAGCTACATTAGATCGGTCGCGTAATAAGGCGAAAAAAGTAAACAGTGACAGTTCTTTGAGCGAGCGACTTTACCTTTGCTAAAGTCAATATTATTTCTAGTGGTTTTCTCCAAAGTGTCTCTCAAGGCGATTTAATATAAAATCATGTTATTTTGTTTTCTCTGATATTTTTTATATCAGAGAATTATTTATAAATGTAATTATCATTTATAAATGTTTTTTATCGTGTATTTAAATGTCATTAATCTTTTCTTAGAGATTTTATTAATTTCTTTCGGTACAAGTCAAAGCATGAAAAACATCATCTTCTTCTATTTCGCTCTCGCAAAAATCTATGTGCGCTTGAGCGACTACAGAGGGTGAGGGGGATTATTTATTTAATATAAAAAAGTGAAAATAAAACAAAATAAAAAAATAAATTTAAGAAAATAAAGAAAGAATAAAAATTAAAAAACAAAAAAATTATTATGCCCCCTTCTGGAAAAAATCTTGGGGACGCCCATGCATGTAAATTACATCGAAACGGATCCACAGTGATGAGATTTAAGAAATAATTTGGAAAATAGCGTTAATCAAACGAATGGATAATTTGTTAAAAGTCAAATAACGGGGATCTGCGTCAATAGTTAATAGAATTTGATTCGCGCGCGAGAAATATAGGATTTCTCGTCCTGTTATTTACAGAAACTCTGCATCGCGTTTCACGACAGTATAAAATCGCGATGTATCTTTAAAGCCCTTTCGCCCTTCTTTTCCGTCTCTCTATTCCGCTATTATGTTTCGCGAATTGCGATGCCGTTTATAACCGTCGTAACATCTCAGATGTCACGTTTCGGATTATTCGCGAATACGTGTCAAGTATTCATCCAACGAGTCACAGATATCTCGACAATCAAATATATAAAATACGTATTTACTTTAATATTATAGAGTCGGCCGAATTTTCGCGATGACGCAAAAATCGCGCTAAAACGATTTTCAACGCGACCTAAATATAGCGATTGTTAAATTTTCCACGTAAGAAAGAGATCATTATAATTTGTTAATTGATTAAAATAACTAGCAGGCTACTCTCTAATATAAAGAAAGGAAGAGATACAGAGATCGAATGCGTTACTTCGTAAAGTGAACGTTAAGTGAGCGTTAATCTTATTATTACTTCGCGAAGGCGCGCACCGATTGCAATTTTCCGCATTAATTATTTGAATTCTGTTATATAAGTATCTATTATATAATGCGGGGTAAAGAAAAAACTAATGAGTTTTAGAGGAGCGGCCATTAAGCGATTACGCGACTTTTCCTCACGCTATACGGGCGATAATGAGACGACAGGCATGCACGGAGAAAAGCGTAGAACTTAGATAAATAGTTGCGGACGGATAAGTAGAGGGAGGGAAAGGAAGGGAAAACGGCCAAGTCCCGGGGGTGGATCAATTCTACTCGTAGATTAGATCCGGTGATAGTAACGATAACAATAATTTGTTC